AGGGGGAGGGGTGGGGGAGGGAGGAGGAGGGGCGGGGAGGGGCGGTTCGAGGAGGTCAGTCCTTGGAGTTGTAGTTACGAATCTTGGGGGGCCGCTGGCAACCTTTAGGTTTTGCAGGATGAGCCCTGGGGTGTCTGGCAGGCTTGCCCCTTGCTTGGGCTTCCATCTTCATCCCTTCGACGGCAAAGGCCGCCCAAGGCACCACGGGGCTTCCCTTGGGGTGTTGGAGGCTGTAGGCTGCTGGAGGTGCTGGGTGCTCTAGCAGTGAAGAGAAAAAAGAAAGGAGGGTGCGTCATCATGGGGCAGGAAGGGGCAGGACGCGGTGTGTACAGAGAGCTGGGTTCACTGATTGCGAGTGGCCGAGCTGCTCGCCAGCAGGAACCAGAGACCCCATGCCTGCCCTGGTTCCTTGCAGGAGCCCATGCCGGGGCAACAGCTGTTCCTGGGAGTCCTGGCCCTGGTGTCCCCGCAAAGAAGGTCTGTGTGGGCACGTGCTCTCCAGATGCTCTGCAGGGCCTGGGCCTGCTCCTCCACTGGGCACTCAGGACATTTGGCCCTGAAAACGACATCTCCTGTCGTGCATATTTCGCAATAGGTCCCATGGAGGTACCAGGGTTAATGGTTGACTCACGACACTTCCCAGGCATTTCCCAGGCTGTCAACCACCCCCTGCCCTCTGGCCATGCTTGCCGGGCATCTCCAACCGCGCAGCAGCCCCAACACGCGTGGCCAGGCACAGGCCAAAGACCCGGGAGCTGCACCACATGTCACAGGTATGGGCCAATGCTCCAGGGCAGCCCTTCCAAAATATTGGCAACAACTCTTTGCACTAGGGCACCATAGGTGATTTTTTTTTAAGTTCTTTGAGCTCTTCTCTATTTTCCTAGTTTTTAGAACTAAGAATGTATTTCTTTCTTTTTTTTTTTTTTGCGGTACGCGGGCCTCTCACTGTTGTGGCCTCTCCCGTTGAGGAGCACAGGCTCCGGACACGAATATTTTTTTTTTTTTTTTTTTTTTTTTTTGCGGTACGCGGGCCTCTCACTGTTGTGGCCTCTCCCGTTGAGGAGCACAGGCTCCGGACACGCAGGCTTAGTGGCCATGGCTCACAGGTCCAGCCGCTCCGCAGCACGTGGAATCTTCCCGGACCGGGGCACGAACCCATATCCTCTGCATCGGCAGGCGGACTCTCAACCACTGCGCCACCAGGGAAGCCCTGTATTTCTTTTTTAAAAGTACCAAGAAGACGTACAAGAATGTACTGTACAACACGGGGAATAGAGATAATATTTTGTGATAACTGTAAATGGAGTGTAACCCTTTAAAAACTGTGTAAAAAATAAAAAATAAAAATAAATAAAAAGCAATTGTGAGATGCAAGCTCAGGGGCGGCTCTCCTTCCTGGGCTGGCCCAGCAGGCAGGGCTGGGGTCTGGAGCTCCAGGAGGGTCTGCACTAAAAGACAATGCTGGGACTTCCCTGGCGGTCCAGTTGTTAAGACTCCATGCTTCCACTGCAGGGGGCACAGGTGCTATCCCTGTTGGGAACTAAGATCCCACATACCACATGGTGAGGCCACAAAATAAAATAAAATAAAAGAGAATGCTGCCCCAGGGTGTAAAGACAGGTGGGGCCTGGCCAACTGGCACTGGCATCTCACACGTGTGACACACACTGCAGTGATGCACACTGTCTACCCAGTGTCACCGAGCCCACCCCTGGGTCTGGTGGTGGGACGCTGTGGGGAGAGGTCTGGAAGGCCTGCCCAGCGCATGGCCGCGTGCTGTACAGGTGGACGACAGGAACTAACCTGGGCAAGACTTGAGGCCGAGGACAGGCCAGCTGCACAGCCTCTGGAGGAAAAGAACGGCGCTGGTGTGGAGCTGGGAGATGGGAAAGGCCTGGGCTTTGAAAGCACACACACAGGGCTGCGTGCTGGGCTTCTTCCAGCGACTCCAGCACCATGAGCTCGGGGTCTGCCAGGGGCACCCAGGCCCTGGCCCCCTCTCTCATCTTGTGCTCTTTCTGCTCCTCTGGCCTCTGGAGACATCCGGAACCATTCCTCCTCTCCCGGAGCCTCCAGGGGTCACAGCCAGTGGCCTCCCCGGAGCCCTCGGCCCCGAAGCTGGGCCAGGTTCTGCTCTCCTCCTGCCCAGTGCCTCCGTGCGCCGGGTCCTGGAGTGGGGTGAGGATGTGCGTCCCTGGACGTCCCCAGGCTCCCTTCTGCTTCCTCTGGCCATGGCTGCTTCTCCCTCTCTGGGAAAGCGTCCGTGTCTTTGGTTCTTAAACCCCAGATGAACTCCTCCTCTCTACACGGAGACACTCCCACCCCAGATGTCTTTACAAGGACTTATAAAGGGATCTCTGGTCAGCTCCATGCTGCTCACTTGGTTTCCTTCTGGAATGCAGCGGCCACTGGGGAGGGGCAGGGTCAGGACCCTGACCACTGTGATGCTGGGGGTCCTTCCCTATAACTCGAGGGAGCAGCCCCTTCAGGGGTTCTGTGGGCATGACCTGAGTCCATCCCAGAGTCTCCACCTGGAGGCTCCTGGAGAAAGTGAGGTGTAGGGAGAAGGGCCAGCCCAGGCCCCAAGACCTTTGCTTGGGAGGCCAAGCTCCCTGTGCCCGGCTGTCAGGAGCTGTTTGCCAGTTCAGCCGGATGCCAGGCAGGTGGCTCCACTGTACGCTGGGAACACAGGCCAGGCAGACCCACCTATCTGTCTGGGGGCAGGGCCTCTGAGCCGAGGGTGAGAAAAGGCTGGGAGGATGGCACAGCCGGCCTTGCAGGCTCTGGTTTTTGTCTCTCTCCTTGCAGTGTCACTCTGAGGGGGTGACTGGCTTCCAGGGCAGGGCAGTCCTGGCTCAGGCATGAAGCTGGACATGTCAGGCCTGCTCTCCTCAGGACACTCCCTGTGCCCGAGCCGTGGTCTCCGCTTGATTAATCTGCGCCCTCACTCAGACCAGGAGCTGGTGTGTGGAAGCGAGGCTCCCACCGTGCTCTCTGCCTTCTCTCCTTTGCCTGACCTGCTCTGCTGTCTTTCTGCACTGGTTCTGATCAGGTTTCAGGGAAATCTGGGGGCACAGCACTTGCCTGTCATGGGCTGCTGGTCCAGCTCCAGCTCTCAGGAAGGTTCAGTGAGATGCCGAAGACCTCCCAGTATGAACCCGGGAGCAGGACGGGGGGCCCTGCAGGGGCTGACAGTGCCAAGGGGGGTGTGGGCCTTCACTTATGGTGGGCGGCCTTCCCTGCAACCTTCCTGGCGCCTGTAATGACCTTGAGCCTGGAAGTTCTTGTGGACCAGCGCCCCGGGGGAAGTGGGCTTGTCTCTTGTCTCAGGGCCTCCTAGGGCTGGCTCTTTGAGCACAGCTCTCTGGAGGCTCGGAGCTGCTGGTCAGCTCCCTTCTGAGTTGGCTTCTAGGCTGCCTGCTTTCAGGGTGACCCGGAGCACGCCTGCCAAGCCTGTAAGGGCAGTTGTAAGGGCTGGGGGCTCAGCTGCACTCCTGAGAAAGGGGATATGGAGCCATGTCTGCCGTGGCTTTCCAGAGCCTTCCCTGGGGCTGGGTGGCTGCTCTAGACGCAGGTACCAGTTGTGGCCTTGGCCACAGGGGATGAGGCCTCCTCAGGCTCACTTCAGCCTCAGCTGCTCTAGCCAGTCCTTCCCTCTCCTCTCTGGGTGACCACCTCTGCGTGCCGGTGCCCCCTCGTTTCTGTCAAGACCTCTCTCTTGCTTCCCTGGGAGCCCCTTAAGCCCCCAAGTTCAACATTTCTCACATTGGGAGAATCACACCCCCAGGCCTCCTCACCCTTACCCTGGGCCTCCTTGTGGATCAGTGATTAAAAGTTAGATTCTCTTACACTCCCCACCCCCAAATCCTTCCAAGGCTTCCCACCACTGTTGGGGTAGAGCCCCAAGCCTTCCGTGTATGATGGGTGTGGATGGTGGGCATGACCTGGGCCCCGAGCAGCCCTGCCCTGCCGGGAGCTGCTGCTGGCCCCTGGTGCAGAGGCTCTGGGAGGACACGCCCAGGCCCGACTCTGCTCAGCAGGGTGGAGGGTGGAGGAGGGGCAGGCAGGAGACGCCAGATCCTTCAGGGTCCTGCGGCCACCCCCAGACTTGGGCTGGGGACGCTGCCCAGACCAACCTGGTTAACAGAGCAGCATCTCCACTCCTCCCCCTCCCTTCCTGAAGTTAAGGCCTGACACTAACCCCTAACTGCTCCTGCTTACCATCATTTTGGGGGTACCTCCTCCCTGGTTCTGGGCTCATCCAGGACTGTCTGCTAGTGCCCCTCAGTGTGGCCCAGTGTGGTTTCCATCTTGGGCTTTGGGAAGGGCTGCCGGGCCGCAGGGTGCCAGGACTTGGGCAGGGGACTTAGCAGAAACACTCTGTGGCAGAGGACGTGAGGAGAGCCAGCACCGCCTCCATGGTGACTCTACCCCTTTTCGGGGCCTGTCTGAGCCCCAGCTCCCCAGAGGAGAGGGGCTGGCAGAGGCCAGGTCAGGTGGGCAGGCGCCAGGCGCATGGGTGCAGGCGTGGGGAAGGAGGAAATGGCGCCAGGACAGAGGTCAGGGCAGTGGGGGCTGGGGTCAGGCGGCAGAAAGCAGAGGCTGGGCCACCAAGCCTGGCTGGGTCCCCCCTTTGGAGGGAAAAGGGCTGGCAGGGCTGCCTGGCGGGGTGCGGGGGGGAGCCGAGTGCCCAGGCTGCACCCAGAGAACCGGTGTCCTCTGTAAGGCATGTGTGGGGACAGCAGGGAGGGCACAGATGAGCACATGGGGCGGGGTAGATTCTGATCTGCCTTCTTTCCAGAGATCAAAGCCTGAAAACCTGATAAACAAGATGATATTCATGAAAGGTACACTTTCAAAGGGACCCGTGGGGGCTCTGCCCCCAGGTAGGCCAAGCCGGGCACCCAAGCATCGCTGGAGATCCTCATGTGGAGGGGCTGCCCACCTCTGCACCCAGCCAGGGTGCAGACCGGCAGGCCACATGCCTCGAAGGGCTGCCCTCTGCTCCTTCTTGGAGGGGGGACAGCTGTGAGTGAGGCAACGCTCTCCTCTTCCACAGAAACATGCCCCCTCGGGAGGGCCGCCAATTGGCCACAAGCACACTGGCTGCCTGTCTTGTTCCAGGCCCCGTGAGTCCAGACCAGGCCCCAGGCGATGAGCCTGAGGACCCTGTGGGCTGCTTTGGGTCCCCACCCCCGCAAACCCCACACCCCACCCCCTTCAGGAGGACAGGCCAGTGACAGACGTGCCCTGCA